TCTCAGGATAAAAGTCAACCTTCCCTGGTTGGTCCTAGTGAGCATTTACGACAAATTGAGTTCTTTTGAGAGGCTCGGCTTTTAGACAGATAAAATGTTTCAAGAACCAAATGCCTTCTGCTCAGAATTTTTATGCCTCAGAGGTGTATTCTGGATCCCCTTCAATATAGATCTAGTAGTTGAAATACTCAACTCTAATTCCCATGGGCATCAGTAAAGTCTAGCAGGGGTGGGGAACCTTGGGCCTTAATGGCAAAATGTGGCCTTCTAGGACCTTAAGTGTGGCCTTTTGACTGAATCCAAATTTGCCGAACAAATCCTTTTACTAAAAGGGGTGCAAGCAGAGAAAGATAAAGCTGTCTTGCCTCCTTTGGTGCTTAATAAAGAAGAATCTTGAAAGAAGGCGGCAGGTTCCCCTGTGCTGTTCCTTTCATATTCACCTCAATCTGTTGAGCATGTATAAAGGTTCCCGTCAGGGGTTTATACTAGTTTGGACTGGAACTTAACATTTTAAGTTTCCAATCAGATAAAAGCATAATGAGGAAAATGTGTACCCTTAGATATAATCCTTTTTTTAGTCTTGGGGTCTTTTATGAGCATAATTCTCTTCATGTCACTCCCCTATCTAAAAATCTTTTAATGGCCGAATTCCAGGATAAGGGTCAAATTCCACCTTGCAAAATATACCAACAGCTCCAGTTATGCCAGACTCCTTGAATACTGCCCAATCTTCTGCCTGCACTCCAGCTGACGAACTTCCACTAAGACTGTCCTGGCAAATCTTGCCTGACACCATCTCCATCTCCAAGACAGGGTTACCCCTTTGCTGTGCTGCAAAGGCATGCTATGCACACCTCTGGGACTAAATACACTATTATTTATTTATTATTTTTTTGGAGACAGGGTCTCTGTTGCCCAGGCTAGAGTGCCATGGCATCCCGCCTTGGCCTCCCAGAGTGCCAGGATTACAAGCGTGAGCCACGGTGCCCAGCCTAAACACACTTTTAAAAGACATTTAAATTGTTTAATTCTTTGTACCTCAAATGGTGTGAATCAAAAAAGAAATTGTTTAATTCTATGGGTTTTAAGGCTCTTGAGGGCTCACACTGTTTTGATATACTCTGCTCCTCACATATACTCAATAATTGAATAAATGGATGAACCTTATTTTCCTAGTGATTATAAAACTAAAGGTGCCCTCCTGATCCAAAATGTAATAAAATGGGTAAGAAGTATTATGCACCTCAGCATTAGAACACAGGAAATGGACCAGGTTTTCTATGAGTGTTTATCAGGCCCAGGAGTGAAAGTGAGTCAGAGTAGAGTGGGACAATGTGGGTGTGATCTGTACAAACGCATCTGATGGGTTGCCCGCACCTCAGGTTTGGGTAAACTGTAACCAGATAATCTCTAAGATCCCTTCCTGTTCTAATATTCCATGGTTTTTAGAGTAAGTCATAAAAGTTCAGTTAGGATAAACAAAAATCTAGTGGCTAGATCATAATAACCTTTATGTCAGACCAATACTAGAAACTTTTAAAAGAATTTGCAGGCAAGGTGTGAGGGAGGGAAATCTACAGGATGTGCTTTTGTGGGACCTTTTACAC